TGATTCTGGTGTCTCAGATCATATGTCTGGGTCTTCTGATCTCTTCTCAGATTATATATACCCCAGCCTTTAGTCAGGATAAAGTTAGGATTGTAGATGATACTATTTCCTCTGTCTCCGGGAAAGGTTTAATCCATGCCACTCATTCCCTACCTTTGTCTTCTGCTTTACATGTTCTTAATTTTTCTGTTAACCTATTGTCATTGAGTCGTCTAACTCGAGATTTGAATTGTTGAGTAACTTTTTTTTCTTGATTTTTATCTTTTTGAAGACTTTATCACGAAGAAGACGATTGGCAGTGGTAGAACAGAAAATGATCTCTATATCTTAGATCAAAATAACCAACGGACTCATCATTCCATCCAGTCTCCATCCACCCCGGAAGATTTATGGCTGTGGAATAGGCGTCTAGGACATCCCTCTTTTTTTTACTTAGACATTTATTTTCTTCTGTTTTTATCAAAAATAAAATCTCTAAGTTTTATTATGAGTCATGCCAACTTGGCAAACAATACCGAGCTTCTTTTGCTCCTAGTAATAATAAAAGTTCCATTCTTTTTCTTTAATTCATTTGGATGTTTGGGGCCCCTCTCGTGTCATGTCTATCAAGGGTCATCAATGGTTTGTTATTTTTATAGATGATTGCTCTCATGCTACTTGGGTGTATCTCATGACAGCCAAAAGTGAGACTTTTTTCTATGTTTCAAAACTTCAACAAGATGGTTAGTACTCAGTTTGGGGCGGTTGTCAAAATCTTGCGTTCTGATAATGGGGGGTGAGTATCTTGATTCGGGGTTGGCTTAGTATTTTTCCACTCATGACATTATCCATCAAACATCTTGCACTAACACCCCTCAATAGAACGGGGTTGCCGAGCGCAAGAATCGTCATTTCCTTGTTATGGCTCGCTGTATGTGTTTTTCTATGGGTGTCCCTTGCGCCTATTGGGCCGAGACTGTTCTCACTGTTGCATATCTCATTAACCGTCTTCCTACACAAGTCTTACACAAAAGGACCCCTCTTCAAGTTCTCTTAGGTTCTGAGTCTCTGTTTTCCATTCCTCTCAAATCCTTTAGGTGTATCTGCTTTGTTCACAATCATTCGCCTTCTCAGGGTAAGATGGATTCTCGTTCTCTCAAATTTGTGTTCTTGGGTTACTCCCCTACTCAAAAGGGGCACAAGTGTTATCATCATTTGTCTCATAAATGGTTTGTGCTCATGGATGTCATATTTTTTGAGTCTCACTCCTACTTCTCCTCTCGTCTCACATCCCCGTCCTCTTTTCAAGTGGAGTCTTGGAGTGAAGAGAGTCCTGTTACTTTTATTATTCCTAGCTCAGTACTGCCATCAGAGGTACCTGTTATTCCTGGTCCAATACCACCTCCAATGGTATCTATTATTAGGAATACAGAATCCGATGTTGCCAAGCACAAAGAAGGGTGGGTCTATGTAAGGGATAAGGAAAGGCAGCAAGTTACTTGGATATAAGAGACCATTTCTGATCAATCACTGCCATCTCTTTCTCTTGATAAAGGTCTAGGTAATCCTGAAACACCTGATATTGCTACCTCTGAGCCTGAGCCAATTGATCTTGATATACCCATTGCCAAGAGAAAGGGTGTGAGATCTTGCACTCATTATTCTATATCTAACTTTGTGTCTTATTCTCGTTTGTCCTCTTCATATAAAGCCCTTGTGTCAAAAATTTCCTCTGTTAGTATACCTAATCATTTTCAGGATGCTCTTACTACTCCTGAGTGGAAACTAGCCATGGTGGAGGAAATGAAAGCACTTCATAAGAATGGCACTTAGGATTTAACTGAGTTACCTAGGGGCAAACGAACTGTTGAATACAAAAGGGTGTATACTGTGAAGCACAAGACAGATGGTTTAATTGAGCGGTATAGATGGCGTTTGGTGTAGCTGTTAAAACAGTTTATAGATTATAGCTTAACAGATTATAGATTATGACTTTAATCAGAAGTTGTTAATCTGTTTGGTGTAGCTGTTGGATTATAGATTTAAGTTTCTGAGTAGTGTTTGTTAAATAAGCTGTGAAATAGCTTTTTCAATTAATTTTTATTTTTTGTTTGTCTACATTTCTTATAAAAAATAATGATAATAATAATCTATAGTCCATTTGAGTCTTTTTCTATTTTTAAAAAAATAAAAAATAAAAAAATTTAAGAGTATAACCATAAATTAACATGTCCACAGCAGAAGCTGATAATCAGAAACAAGGGGTGAGCAGCTTCTCAGAATCAGCTTTTTTGAGTTAAAATAAGCTGTTAGAATCAGAAGCTGTTTGAAATAAGTTTAACCAAACAGTCCAAAATAGCTTTTTCAAAGCTAAAAGCCATAAGTTGGCTCTGAAAAGCTGAAACAAACACCCCCATAAAGCTCGACTTATGGCAAAAGGTTTTACTCACACCTATGGGGTGGACTACCAAGAGACATTTGATCTAGTTGCAAAGATGAATTCAATCAGAGTACTTCACTCTCTAGCGGCTAATCTAGATTGGCCACTTCATCAATTTGATGTGAAGAATATTTTCCTACATGGTGACCTAGAAAAGGAGGTTTATATGAATATTCCTCCTGGCTTTGAAACTCTTCAAACTAAGGGTAAGGTGTGTCAACTTCGAAAGTCATTATATGGCCTCAAATAGTCTCCTAGGGCTTGGTTTGAAAGGTTTACCCAGGCAATACTGAAATATGGTTTCAAACAGAGTTAGACTGATCATACTCTGTTTATTAAACATTCCTCTAATGGTAAGACCACAACTCTCATTGTGTACGTAGATGATATAGTTCTTACAAGAGATGATGTTGAGGAAATCCCTTTGTTGAAAAAGTATTTGGCAAGTGAGTTTGAAATCAAAGACTTGGAAAACCTGAAATACTTTCTGGGGATTGAAGTGGAGAGGTCCAAAGATGAAATTTTCATCTGTCGGAGAAAATATGTCCTCGACCTGTTAAAGGAAACCGTAATGCTTGGAAGCAAAGCTTGTGACACACCACTGAAGCCTAATCAAAAACTTTGGGATGATAGTGGGGGAGCAATCGTTGATAGAGGAGTTATTAGAGATTAATGGGTAAGCTCATTTACTTATCCCATTCTCGTCCTGATATTGCTATTGCCGTGAATGTGGTTAGCCAGTTTATGCACACTCCTCATGAGGCACACTTGGCGGCAATTATGAGAATTTTGAGGTACTTGAAATCTTCTCCTGAAAAGGGTCTTTATTTTTCAAAACATGATCACCTTAGCGTGGAAGCCTATATGGATGCTGATTGGGCAGGATCAATCACTGATAAAAGGTCCACGTCAGGGTATTGTACTTTTGTTGGAGAAAATTTAGTTACTTGGAGAAGTAAGAAACAAAATGTGGTGGCCCAGTCTAGTGCAGAAGCTGAGTTTAGAGCTATGGCACAAGGTGTGTGTGAGCTCTTGTGGATCAAGTTGTTGTTGCATGATCTAGGAATGGAACAGAAAGACTCCATGCGACTATATTGTGATAATAAAGTTGCTATCAATATAGCTTACAATCCAGTTCAACATGACAAAACAAAATATGTTGAGATTGACCGTCACTTCATCAAAGAGAAGCTCACTAATGGCACAATTTGTACTCCGTTCGTGCAGCCTGGTGAGCAACTTGTAGCTATCCTCACCAAAGGACTTCGGGCCCCGTTTGTTTGGGGTTATAGGGAGGGGATTGGGATTACTAATCCCTTGATATTACTAATGGGGTGTTTGTTTTGAGAGATGGGGAGGGGACTATTAATCCCTTGGTATTAGTAGTCCCCTTGGAAGGGGGATTGATAAGGAGGAGATAGAGATGGTATTAAAAAAATAGTGAGGGGATTAGAAATTTTTTTATTTTTTTTTATTTTTTATATATTGGGAATTTTTTTAAAAATATTAATGTTTAATTTTTTATATTTTTTTATTTGTTTTATTATTTTATATAAAAATAATTTAACAATTCTTCACTATCAATCCCCTCACTATTAATCCCCTCACTATCAATCCCCTCACTATCAATCCCCTCATTAACAATCCCCTTACTATGAATCCCCTCCATTCTATCTCTGAAAACAAACGGGGCCTCGGAGTAAACCATTTCATGATATCCTTGGCAAGCTGGCTATGAGAAATATCTTCACACTAACTTGAGGGGGAGTATTAGAATATGTGTTAGAATCTTCTTATTATTTGTTCCCTTAGTTAGATTATTATGTAATTCCTTAATCAGGGTAATTCCTTGATTAGTGCCTTTGGGCTCTCTTTGTAATTGTTGGTTGATTTATATAAAGGGAGTGATATTAGTATCACTCTCAACATCGATTAAACCTCAAATCAATCAGAATGCCCAAGATCATAGGATACTATCAGCCCCGATAGAGTGGGAGGAAGTCAAAAGAGTATATGATACCCAAAAAAAATGAAGAACAAAGAGTAGAGAACATAAGATGACTGAACCATAAGATGACACAATTTCCGATCACAATAAGTTCCAATCCTTTTAAATGCAAGTGCCAATTTTGTTCTTTCAACAACCATATAAAACATAAAACACTTGATATGTAAAAATTAGAAGTTTCAAAATATGCAACCCTAATCGTCACCCCAATAAAGAATATAGAAACATGAAGTCCATACACAACCATGACAGCAAAACAGTCAAGTCAAGTAATCCCTTGATGGAATCATACTAATGACAATGAGTATTCACGAGAAGGAGATCGGATATCAGAAGAGAAGAGAAATATGAAGAAATTAAAAACCGAATAATAGTATTGTATAATTTGTATCTCACTAGTGATACAGCATGACAATGACACCAACAAATGATCAAATATATGGACACCATGTTATCATAACTCCTAACCAGGTATGTTACCCCAATGGTCCAACCAAACATAAAGATTTCTAACCAAGGCAATTTACACACACAAAACTAGAGATAAATGACTAAACGAAAGAAAAAACATACCCAATCGTAATTTGCAGAGAGATATTCAGCAACAGTTGACTTATGTCTGGTCAAAAGCTCCTGTAAAGAATATTGGAAGTTAATCAGCAGGCAGGTTTACTCTGACAAAACAGCCATGTTAAGCATTAAAGACTGTGAATCGCGAATCGAATTCTGAGTTGTTTTGAAAATAGTGAATCACGAATCATAAGATTCACTTTGTTTAGCATGTTATATAATTTTATATATACATATATAAATTATAAACACATAAAAATACATACAGGATTTAGAATGAAATAAATATCAATGTTGCTAAATTATATATGTGTATACAGTATGTACATATGAAACCACCTATATCAACATAATTGATTGATCATTAGCAAAACCTCAAGCTCAGAAGCAACAACAAAGCCCAGATGGAGAGTAATGACTAGTAGAAAACACTACCTTAAAGGTTGCTGTAGCATCGGCAGCAACATCGAAATTTGGAAGTTGTATATAGTCAAAAAACTTCTTCATATTTTCTGATTTTAAAACATACCTGAGAAGAAAACCAAACAGATCAAAAAAATGACCATATAAAGATTAAAAGAGAAACAAGATATAGGATTAAAGCACCAGGAAAAAGAAATTCAGAAATTGACTAGAAATTCCTCCTTTCCGTTCCATCAGTAAATTCTTATTGAACGAATCAGTGAGACCTAACTCAAGAACAACAATACAGCAGAATAGGTAAAATTGGTGCTTCTAAAACAGAGTCGCCAGTACAACCAAATTAACAATGATATGTCAAAAAGATAGAACAAAATAGTTTAAGTAAAAGACTGATTATAAGGACAAAGGGAGAAGAAAAAAAGAAAAGGAAAAATAGGGGAAAAGGAAAAAAAAGAAGAAAAAAAAATCAATTGCCAATGTATGCTTTCAAACTGCTTACCTTGCAACACTTTGATGTCGTATACACTCCCTCAACATTCCACCATAATGTAAAGCAATGCCCGGATCCTCGTACCTAAACAAACATTAACGTAGGTAATGAATTTACATACAATAAATAACATAGACATACACAGGAGTTGCTAAAACCACAAAACAACCATATTGGAAGAAGACTTTCAATCAGAGATAGGTAAATACTTACCCAGATATTAAATGGTCCATGATATCTAAGTTAGCTTCCAAGTAATCAGAAGCAATCAAACGTGAATAAATCTGTTGCCTCTGCAGATTTGCAACCACTAGGGTGGCATCCTTACGGGCCTATTAAAAATAATCTTTTCATAATAAGCAATAGCAATAAAGAAAATTAAACAAAACACTGAAGTATGACTCAGAAAAAAATATTCATTAACTCAACCACGAAGAAAATAGACAAATAAATTAATGAAGCTAATTCTATTCTGCAACTTGACATAGTTACCAACCAATTAGATGATATTACATACTCACCTCTAAGTCCAATTTTGGAAGACAAGTAATCAGGAGACGAAATGTGTTCTCCCTAAAGAACTCTTGGGTTAATTGTGCACAAGCTTCTGCAGCAGGCTCTGATTCACTATTGCCATAAAGAATTACCTTCAACTCCCAAATGTGTCTATTTATTTCTTCGATCTGAAAATGAGACAAAATGTCATCACAAAACAGTACAAATTTGAATGCAGACAAACAAACACGTTGATACAAGTCAACAACGCAATCATTTTCTCTACTCGACAATATACCAGCAATGTACCTTCAGTGCTCATGTTACACAGACATGTCTCCAATGACATTGACAACAAAACTTCTACATCAATCCGAATTCCATAAAGAACAGAGCAGAACACATAGAAATCATTTTTACGAATCTAGTCCCACTAAGTAATAATTGTGATTCTCAAAATCATCCCGAAGAGGCATTTTCCTCTGCTCGACATATACAAATACATACTCAAAATTTTTCTTCATCTCAACAAGACAATGGACAAACCCAACTTATGTGCTTGAGCACGTGTGTCTCCCTTAGCAACTATAATTTGATTAACGCATACAATTCATGCAGTACCAGTATTGAAGTAGATTCAATGCATAAACAAAACTCACTAGCAAGTAGAATAATTTTTATAATAAAATGAGATAATAAGAAACTGATGACCTCTAAGTCCAGAGGAGTTCATGGTGGAGAATTATACAATCACTAACAAGATTGCCTTCTTTTTTCTTTTTTCTTTTTTGGTTCAATGCAACAGTAAAAAATTCAACGCCAAACATAACAACCCAAATTCAAATTCCAAAAAACCCAATGAAAATCATTCATACAGTTCCAAATGCACCAACCCCAAATCAACCCAAATCAGAAAAATAAAAAATAAAAAATAAAATAGATAACGAAAAAGATGAACACTTCATTGTTCAAAACAACAATTTCTACACCTAAAACCCATGAAAATAAAGACAACCCATCAAAATTCACAAACAAAAAGGCACCATTCAATCATTCACAACAACGCAATGATCGAAAACCAACCTTCTCGGTATGCTTAATTCCACCACGATCAGCATTGGCATCTAAATACATCAAAAGAAACCGAGTCTGCCTCACCACATCAACCGGCGTGCGAGGCTTCGGCTTGACGAGACCTTTCAAAGCACTTCCAAGAAGTGTTCGAAGAAACACCTTCTTCAAACCCGAAGATTTCTTAGGAGTTCTCTGAGACTTATCCACTTTCGCTGTCATCATTTTGAACTCTCTCTAGGGTTTGATTCTTCTTCTTCTTCTAGGGTTTGAAGTGGGACCAGTGTTTGGGTTTGAGACGAAGAGGAAATGAATTGAATGAGCTCAAACCCTTGTTTGGTTCCCCAGTAAAATGGAAGATTCAACGTTGCCATTTACGTCTGTACGTTCGATATTTTCTTTCTTGTCTTGCAGTAGTTTTCTTGGAAAGACAGTAAGGAAAGGAAAATTTTAGAAAGTCAAAATTTTCAACACACAAAAATGGGGTTTTTTGCATTTATATTTTTCCTGTTTTAGGATTTTATTTCATAATCTCCTGCAGGATTGCCTATGTTTGTACTTTTTTGTGTGTAATCTTACAGAATGGTTCAATCTTTTTACTGTACTACTATTTTGGGCCATTATAGGATTTTAGTTAAAAAATAAAATAATAATAATAAAAAAATATTATAAATTATTAAAAAAAAAAAACTGCGCACATCACAAATGGACTATTGTAATATTTGGAAGTATCCTAACAAGCCCTTGTTTTCTAGACTCAGAAATTTTCCTTGACTCTTTGCAAGTCCACCTTGAAGATTCACTCCATGGGTCTACATCAATAATTGGTACTTCAGTAGAAGAAGACAAAATTCATAGAAGATAAGGCCTCTCTTCAATTATCAGAGAAATACACGCCAAGAAACGACAAAAGATTCTGTAAATATTTGTGTTTGTAATTATTTGCGTCTGTCAGTGATAAGGCATTTCCTTCACTCACTACTTTAATAGAGCAGATGACCCCCACCCTGTTCCATTAAAGAAAAGCTGTGAAAATCCTTACACGTGTCTTGTAACAAATTATAGTGTCAAAATTTTGTCTAAAAATGAGGATTAAATGATGTGCGATAGGACCCAAAGTAGTACCCGGCATCATTATCCTAACCCTTTATTTGTCTTTATTAAGGAGGTTGCCAAAATATGCATATAATTGTCCTTATATATGTCAACATATGTGGAAATTTTGGCAAAAGCCTATTCCTAGGCTTTATTAGGTTTTTTGAAAAGTTTTACCGTCAAGATTGAGTTAGCTATCAAGACTAGGTCTTAAACTTTTGTTTTATTCTCCTTTTTTGTTGTATAAATTGGCATTCATGCCAACGGAAGAAGCAAAATGAAAAATTCTCCTTCACTCTACTTTGTAAAAATTTTCAACCCCTCTCAAAAACATCTATTCTAAAATAATTTTAGAGTCTGTAAAGTGTACCAAGTCTTTCAGAATTTCAGAGTCTGTAATATAATCTTTGTAAGTATATTCCTTATTAATATGAAGTGTGAGTAGTCTCTCTTTTTCTTTAAATATTTCAAAAGGGTAACACTTCTATTCTAAAACTTTATTTTTTTTTTTGGAAAAAACTAAGTTTATGGAATGTTTGTTTGCTCATTAATATTACATGTTTTGCACCTTCGTAGTATCTATTGTTTTCTATTTTATTACTGAGTGACCTTAGCTGAAGAGCCGTGTGAGTCGTGGTTAGGCGTTTGAGGGCAAATTGTAGGCATAAGGGGAACGATAAAAAATAGAAAATAAAAATATATTATGTTGAACAAAACTTAGCTTCAAGGTGGGAGTACATGTAATGAAAACAAATATTGCCTAAAAATAGTTTTGCCAAAGAAAAAGAATTTTAGAATAAAAGGAGAGCAACCCAAGTAGAAATATTAAGGAAATATTGTCTATAAAAGGAATTTAAAAATCAAAACTTTATGCCCTTAGAAGAAAAACTTAGAATTAAAATCAAAATCAGTACTGAACTTATACAAGAATTAGAAGATCAAAAATTAAGATATTAATTTCTATTATCATTAGCTTCTGGCAGATCCCTAGAAAATTACAGTTTAAAAATTTCTCAAATAAATAGACAGATAACTGTAAAATAAGAAGCGTTAAAGCTAGCCATATAACAGTTTGAAGACCTATTAGCATAACTGTAGAATTAATTAGATAATTCTCAGCCCAATTTCAAAATAGTGGTAGACCACTAACTCATCACCCCAAAAAGTTGGTATCAGAACAGCGTTCGGTTTTAGGACAGCTTAAGTTTAGTTTATGCATTTTGCTTATGGAAATAGAGTAGTTTTTATTTTTGGACAATTTAGTTATAAATTTCATATTATAGTAGCTTTTAATAATTTTAAAGAAGGATTTAATTTTGTGTATGAAAAGAGTAGAATATTTAGATTTAGAACTCATCAATCATAACCATCGTCTTAATATAGATAAAAATAAATTTCGTTGTAATTTTGAAGGTACTTTTACACATCAGCTCCATAATGAACATAATTCTCAGCTAAATAGTATCATAGATTATCAGATTAACTTTGCAGAAAATATTAAAAAGGACGTAGATAAAATTAGTAATCTCTTTACTTCATTTATAGGCCATCTTCGTAACACTCGCAGTATAATTAAAGATCAAGATAAAAAAATAGATTATATCCAAGACTAGTGTAGTTCAATCTTACAAAAACGAACAGATATAAATTTAGAAAAATTTCCCACTAAGCTAGAAATAGAAACTCTAATCTCAGCTATAAATACTAGTAGCTCAAAACAAATAGAATTAGAATTTAAGCAACTAATTGAAAAAATCCACAGTCAGATAAATCAAATAGCTAAACAAATAGAACAAATCAACCAAATTCAAGATAATTTAAAACAAAAATTAGAAATCTTAGAACAATTAATAAGATCTTAGTTTATGAGTAGTGATAAAAAAGCTAATAGAGATTACCAGACTATTTTAAAACAAGCAGAAGATTTTCATAATAACCCAGAAGGAATCAGAAGCTATCAAGAAATAAATCAATTAGATAAAATATCAGTAAGACAAAATAATATAGAAATTTTATTTCTAATTAGATTGTGTGAAAAAATTGAAGAATTATCAGAACAACTACACGGCTTAGAAAATCGTTTAGCTTCTTTAGAAAGAATAATACTTCAAAAAGGAAAAGGAATAGAAGGACAAACAAACAAATCCCAATCTCAGATAAACGAAGAAGATATAGCTAGATATTTTGAAAAGCTTAAATTACTAAGAGACCCGCCTGTAGAACTTACAGAAAATAAAAAATGTTTAAACAGCTAGTAAAAGGAAGTAGTAGTAGTAAAAAGCATAATGAAGATGAAGATATTAAAATGGAAGAATTTATAGATGTAGAACAACAAATAGAAAAATTTAAGAAAGAAAAACTAGAATTAATTCCAGCTAAATATGTATATAAGTTAGTGAGAGGGTAATTTATGATCTGGAGTTGGGCCGAGGTATCGGACGAGCAGGTTGAGGGCCCAACGGTGCATGGGGCTAAGATGATCAAATATCCGCCCGGATATGGGTTGCCAGAACTTGGGCCGGGTAGAATTTGGGCCGAGTGTGTGCCGCCCAGACCGTAAAAGAGCTGCTCGGTAAGGCAGTGCTCGGTCGGACAGGGATGCTCGGTCCAAGGATGGCCGAAGCCAGACAAGCTGAGTGACCGGCGCCCGGAAAGGCGTGGTCAACCGAGGACACTGATTGGCCGGCAGGAAGGCCGACCAAAGGAGGTACCCGGGCTAGGCTCTGCCGGGATGCCGCCTAGCCCGGTCCTCCATGTGTTTATCCGGTTAGGCGCTTCGGTATGAAGCATTGCATGGCCGTGGTAGAGCAGCTCGGCTGCCGAGCTCCAGCTGTGAAGTTAGGCAGTTGAGATTAGGTGATGATCGGCAAGATTTATGCTGACAGATGGGATAGTAAAGCCACGTGTCAGGAGATGACTGGGAGTGGGTATGGGGCTCAGAAGGTATATAAGCATGTCTGCGCCCCCCATACGCGACACACGAACATATCTGTAAGAAATCCTTACACTCAAACACTCTCTCCCTTCTCTCTATCTATCCTAAGGTGTGTGCTAACTTGATCGTCGGAGGGTTTTTCCGGCCACACACCGCCGGGCAGCTCACCATTTTTGGCCCGCAAGTGATCGGATATCGACGGAGCTCGGAAGAAAGGAATACGGGCACGCCGGAATATTTGCTCCCCGTACAATTGGCGCCGTCTGTGGGAAGTTGACAGACAAAACCTTGTCTTCCAGGTTCATCTGATCGCCGTCCATGGCGAACAACGACGAGTTCCCGTTGTCTGCCATAGACGGAGCCACCCCGGAGTATACCCGAAGGAGAGAGGGACCACTTGCCATACATCCAATGGCAGACTTGGGAACGCCCACCGGAGGATAGTCAGGTGACGCGCGGGATAAGCGCGGAAGGAGTCATGGTCATTCACGGAGCCCAGATGGTCACCGACGGAGGAGGGACTCCCACTCCAAACGTCTGGAAGATAAGTTGCGGGACCAAGATGCTGTCATCAGGCGAATGGCGGCGGAGATGGAGGATCTGAAGCGGCATGTCAAAGGGAAAGGTGTAGCTGGAGTGGGAGACCACAGTGAGCGCACCCCCTCCCGCCGTTTAGGCGATCAGAGTCAGCGACGTACTCAGTCCATATTTATTACCAGAAGTTACCAGGTTGGTGATTCCGACGTGCATGCAGAGAAGTCTAGCGCGCAAGACAGCACATACAAACCCTCACGTCCGGCGACGACGTCGAGGTACTCTTATTCTGCTCAGTCAGAGGATCTACGGGCAGTGTTAAGGGAGTGGGCTCGCCGGCGCGAAGCTCAGAGAATACCAGCTTTCCAGCGGCTCTCCTACGGGGTTCACGCCAGCGAGGAGGTCGGAATGCCTCCACCCCGCCAAGTAGTGCCAACCTTTGAAGATACAGACCTGGCCAGACTGAATGCCACCCCTTTTTCCCTGGAAATAGAAACAACGCCGCTTCCGGCAGGCTTCCACCAGCCTAAGTTCACACTTTATGACGGAAAGACCGATCCATACATGCATGTGAGCCACTTCCGACAGGTCATGGCCGGACATAGGCAGAATGACGGACTTATGTGTTTAATCTTCCCGTCAAGTTTGGGCGAGCTGGGTTTAAAGTGGTTCGAGAGGTTGCCGGAAGGGAGCATACAACGGTGGCATCAGTTGGCCGAGGCGTTTGTTACACGCTTCAAAACCAACACAAAGACACCAAAGGAAGTCGATCACTTGCTAAGTGTCAAGATGGAATCCTGCGATACACTGAAGGCATACAATTCAAGGTATTGGGAAACCTTCAACGA